CCGTAAAACTTCACTTCCTCTATATAACATACTACGTAAAATCTAGAATAATAATAGATCACAAATCGATAGTTAAATAATGTTTCATAAGATTTTTTATTATTTAATTAACATAAGAAATAAATACCTCTGTAGTCATTACTAAGCAGCTAGAGCTCGGATTAAGAGTCACGTCACCTGTCATTAATCCTACATCTTTAAAATCATGTTGTAATTCACGATATTTTTGGTTACTTAAAGCCTAATTTGATATTATCAATATTTTAATATTATAGTTAAAAACTATTTGTTTTATACTTTAAGATAATATAATTGCTTTAAGATAAGACGAAATAAATACCTTAATTGGACTTGTGTAAATGACTCTTTGTTTGTTTTTTAAACTCTGAGCAATTGCATATTCTGCAATGACTGTTTTACCAGCTGAGGTGTGGGCACTAACCAAAACTGATTCACCTCTTTCAATGCAAGCGATAGCTTTGTCTTGAAAAGGATCCAAAGTAAATGGGTAAGTCCTAGCAGGTTCACCTATTCTCGCGACGGGACGTGAAAGATCATAAGGAAGTTTTCCGTAGGCTACTTCGTGACGAACCTTTCAAAAGAATGAAAACATAAATAAAAATAAATAAAAATAAAAATAAATTATCGTTTTTTTACCTCTGGAGTCTTTATATCTTCTTTCTTGACAAATTCTGTTACAAATTTTACTTGGTTATCGTTTTTCTCGCCATTAACTTTTATTTTTTTTGTTTGTGAGAGATCTTTTTTTTCTTCGGGGTTTTCTTTACTCGAAGGTCCTCTTTTTGATGGAACATTTGGTAAAGGACCATTTTTTACGTTGGCATCGTTGTTATTCATCGTTGAAAGTAAAAAAAAAAAACAGATCTGATATTTTTTTTAGAACGACCTTATTCTGAACCCTGGTTCAGGATGAAAATCATGAACCCCCTCTACGTTACACGAGCATTTTTAAGTTCCCAAAAATGAAATGCTTAAATTTTGATATGTATATCTTTTTTTCAAACCAACGCTTCTTTGCTTTCAATTAGATTCAATAAGATCCGATGTTTGGA